AGTTTTTGCCCGGACACTGCCTTCAAAGGGATTGTTTCTATCCAATTAATATTTTTTTGCGTCACAAGTTCTATTCAATAAACATTCTTCTAGTTTCTCTACGCTTGGCGAGAATATGTTCACTAACTACACTATGGATTACACCACTGAGAGACAAACGGATTTTGCGCTTATGTTCGCTATCATCTTTTCTGGAGTAACAGGTAGGTAGAAATTTTTGAAATTTTGTAGGTCATCTAGTAAAGTGTTTAGCTTGTTTGTATCCATCCCGCTTTGATTTCGCTTTCTTTTATGTGGTCAATTCATGTTGCAAATACTTTTTTTTTCAGGTCTGATGGCTGGAGCTAACATGTCTGGTGAACTGGCTCGTCCATCTGTGTCCATTCCTCGAGGAACAGTTCAAGCAGTACTGACAACGCTTTTCGTCTACATAATGACAGCTTTCTTGATGGCAGCCACGTCAAGCCGACATCTTTTGCAGAACGATTATACAGTGAGTACTTTGTTTCATGGGAAAAGCTGCGTCTACTGAGTTTTTGTTGTTAGGTAATGATGGATACAAATTTCCAACGGTGGTTTATCTTAATTGGAGTCTTCTCTACCACGTTATTTTCGTCCATGAGTAATCTGATCGGTATGTCGTTTCTAGAATGTTTCGTGTCAGCGAACTATAATCGGAATGTTAGACATTTGATTTTCAGGCTCTTCGCGTGTTCTTAATCGCCTTTCTCATGACAAGCTATTTGGTTGCCTTTTGAGGCCAGCCAAGATTGAGATTGGAGACCGTAACCCTATCGTATCTGTCATTATCACATGGCTTTGCGTGGTGGTAAGATTCTACTTTCTAACTGTTATATCCATCCTTTCGATAATTTACGCATCTTGATATTCAGGGTGTGTTCCTGATTGGTGCGATGAACAAAATTGCCAAGCTGACTTCCATTTTCTTCCTTCTATCTTATATGGGAGTGAATATTGCATGTCTGGCACTTGAACTCACCAGCGCGCCTAACTTCAGGTATTCTTGCCTTTTCTTTGTTATTGCTATATTTTTCCCTCTTGAACTTCACTTCTTTTTCTCAGACCAACGTTCAAATTCTTTGCTTGGTGGACATGTGCTCTTGGAGTAGTCTGTACTACCACGATGATGTTAGTGGTGGACGCGTCCATGAGTGCCATCGGCGTCGTTGTGCTTATGACTCTAATTATGGTCCTCCATTATCAAGTAATCTCTACTTTCTTATTTTTCTTCTTATTTTTATTCCTTCAATTCCTGTTTCTAAGTCTTATTCATGGCTGTTTTATGAGTCATTTTGCAAAAAAAAAGGCTGAGAAGTTTTTATGCCTATTTCAGGCACCAACAGTCTCATCCGGATCAATCAGTCAAGCTCTTATTTACCATCAAGTTAGGAAGTATCTGCTATTGCTTGACGTAAGAAAAGAACATGTCAAGTGGGTCTTTGAATTCGTATTGATGATCGCTTGCCCTTCTGAGCTAGGCTGCTTTAGATACTGGCGTCCACAAATTCTTCTACTCGTCTCGAGACCATCGTCATCTTGCCCACTAATGGATTTTGTTAACGATCTGAAGAAATCCGGTCTATATGTTATTGGACATGTCCGTAAGGGTGATTTTGACTGCGCTGAAGCTGTGGATCCTCTCCAACAGGTGTGTTTCTCATACATTGTTGAATCTAATTTTGAAATATATCTCTAGGTGTTCCCATATTGGCTATCATTGGTGGACTATTTAAAGCTGAAGGCTTTTGTTGAACTTACTCTTTCAAGCAGTATCAGACAAGGAATTCAACAGGTATTGTAATTTTTGATATTTTCTACCTGTCATCATCTGCTTTCATTCATCTTTTCTTTTTACAATACCATATGTGTTCAGCTTATGCGACTATCCGGCCTTGGTGCAATGAAACCAAATACTGTTGTGCTAGGGTTCCACGAAGCTACGCCGCTTGACGCAACACTGCAGGTTTGCGAAATATTAAAGGCAGCGTTCAGGCAAATCTTGACCTACGGGGCTCTCATGTGAAAAGTAATTCTGAGGCACTAAATGAAACTCTGCCGCGGCAGCTCAGATAGTGCACTACGGCTTTGACATTGGCCTCCAAACTCCGGGATTGTATTTCGCATGGATTCATGGCGCAGCACATC